CACAAAGCAGCACTGGCCAGAGCAAAGCCTTGTCAGGCTTACCCAAGTTCAGACCCACATACTGTATGAGGCTCCATATCAGAAGGAGAGGGTGAGAGACAGCTACTGACTATTAATCTGGATCAAGTGGCTGATAACTATGGCATTAGTCAAATCATTGAAGTGCATTAACCAATCAATTAACAAGCATTTACCAAGTGCCTACTATGTTTTTGGCAATGTGTTAGGTACTAAATATACAAATACAAAGAATGAAACAATCGTACTCTCAAGAACCTTACATTTCATCTGGGGAAGCAACAAGTATAACTCTAAGTTGTAGGGAATTAACACAAAGAGAATATGTACTGAAGCACAATGTTGACCATATAGTAGGTTTAACTAAGAAGAATTGGGAGATACTTGTTACTTGGCATGGTGATCAGAACATGCTTATTTGTTGGCATGGTGATCAGAAGATGTTTATTGGTTAACATGATATAGTGGAAAGAGCACTGGATTTAGAGTAAGAAGAATAAAGTTCAAAACCTGGCTCTACTCTTTACTGGATGGTTGACTATGGGCAAGATTGGACTAGATAATTTCTCAGGTCCCTTCCCACTCTAAATCTGTAGTTTTATGAATGTTGGAAAGAACATGAAATAGTTCCCATTGTTTGCCATTCTTTTTCTTGTTTTTTCTTCTTTTTTTACCCCTCCCTTCCTTCTTGTCTCGTTCTTTCCATTTTTCCCCATCTACTTCTTTCTTTCTTTTTTTCTTTTTCTTTCTTTTTTCTTTCTTTCTTCTTTTTTCTTTTCTTTCTTTCTTTCTTTCTTTCTTTCTTTCTTTCTTTCTTTTCTTTCTTTCTTTCTTTCTTTCTTTCTTTCTTCTTCTTCTTTCTTCTTCCTTCCTTCCTTCCTTCCTTCCTTCCTCCTTCCTTCCTCTCCTCCTTCCTTCCTTCCTTCCTTCCTTCCTTCTTTCTTTCTCTCTCTCTTCCTTCTTTTTTCTTTCTTTCTTCTTTTCTTTCTTTCTTCTTTCTTTCTTTCTTTCTTTCTTTCTTTCTTTCTTTTCTCTTCTTTTCTTTCTTTCTTTCTTTCTTTCTTTCTTTCTTTCTTTCTTTCTTTCTTTCTTTCTTTCTTTCTTTCTATTTTCTTCCATATATGTCTTAGGTCCTCTGCCTCTTCCAGTATGATGCTGGACAAGTCATTTACTTCTGTGGGCCCTAGTTCCATCAGCTTTAAGATGAGGTGATTAGACAAGATTGCCCATAAGGTAATTTTTAGCTCCAAGTTCTATGATTCTTGATTCTCATCTCTACTTCCTGTGCATCAGGAAAACTGTCACATGACACCTGGCCTCCTTTGGTTGAGCTTTGCTATTATCTAGGTTTTTCCTAGGTCATGCTTGGTAACAGGAAAAATCCCCTAAGAATATGTTCCCTGGAAGTTATGTAGTGAAGGAGCAGTGGCTGCTACAGCCATTTCATTACTCTTTTCTTTGTACAAGCAGAGATCCTAAAAAAAGGCATAACCTAGAGAACAAAATGGTATTGTTAGCAGTGACTCAGAATCATTCATCTATCCTTTGCCCCTAGAATGTGTATTACTTTCTTCAAATTTGGGATCAGAGGACCTGGGTTCAAATATGTCTTTGCTATTTAATTTGATTAGATTTTTTTGTTTAATTTTTTGGATTTTTTTGGTTTGATTTTTTTTCTTGTTGAAGGATTAGAGTTTATTTACCAAGTATATATTAGTCTTGACAGACTCAACTGAAAAGATGCTATTTATACAAAATATTACAACATTAAAAATAGATAACATTTGTATTTCAATTCAAGTTTCCCTAAACCAACTATGATACTTTGCTGAATGTGGTTAATTCTCTACCACTAACTGTTGGGCAAAAATAGACAAAAACCCCGCAACCAATAACTGAACCAGGTATTCCAGGCCTTCATCAACTTATAAAAGAAACCCCCAAACACATCTAAAGCAGAGATAAACTTCAGTAGTTTTATTTTCCAATAGTCAGTTATTAAATATTTTTAATATATGTTTTAAGTGCTGTAAAGAGACACTTATTTTATCACATGTCTCATTCTGGGTGTCTTTTTCTTCAGAATCTCTGCTTACTTCTTCTACTCTGGAGTTGGAATCCTCAAAGACTAGCTCGTTCAGTGGTTCAAGATCTTTAAGACATTGCTCAGTTAGTTTTTCTATTGTATCTGTCATATACTGCACATATTCTGATATTTCTGCCAGCTCCTATATCCTTTTCCTTTAGATTAGCAATTTCTTTATCCTTTTGTACAACTTTAAAATTGTAGTTTTTTGTTTTCTTTTAGTCCTTCATAAACAACCTTCCTTCATTTTTCTGATACTAGTCTCCAGTACTGAGGAGGGTTACTACCTGTGTGGTGTTAGTTGAATTATTTAACTTCTCTTGGCCTCAATTTTCTTATCTGTAAAATAAGATAGCTTAGGTTAGATGACTTCATAAGTCATATTTATTTTTATATTTATGTCCAATGACTTCATGTTTTCATGTGCTCTACCCTCCCTTTTTTTTTTTTGCCTTATTCAACCCTCATAGGACAGAGTTAGATTCTGGGAGAGCTGAAGCTTGGAGATGGTGAGCATATTGATCACAGGATTGTAGATTTTAGACAAGAATGGACCTTAATCAATCAGTAAATAAACATTTATTAAATACCTGCTATGTGCCAGGCAGTATGTATATAAGATAAATACAAGAAAAATTGGTGCTAATTAGCTGAAGGAAAGCACTAATATTAAGGGGCCAGAGAGGCCAGAGAGTAGAATTTTCCATTTTTAAAAGGTACATCAATAAAAAGGCTATCCTCTATTATGCCCTAGGCCACTACCTACTTTGACTATAAGTATTTCTGGTTTTGATATAAATGAGAACATGTGTGATCCCACTTGTGTTCACATACACACAGAGATTTATTTTCATATCTCTTAGGATATTTTTTTTGGGGGACCAATTTCAGCTTTATCTTCTAGAGCTGAAAAGCAGCATCGCTGAAGGCCAGGAGGATCCTAAAAATTGACTTTCTTTAATAGATTGTGCTCCACCCCTGAAGACAAATTGCATTGAGCACTTCCATAAATGTACCATGGGTCCATTCAAGAGGAGACCTGGCGAGCCCCATGTAGGGCCTGTTCTGCTTCTCTCCCATAGGCTTTAATAGTCATTTCACAACTGGAACCTCATGTGGATCTTTTCAAGCAGACCCTAAGCAGTATCATTCTTCTGCTTAATGGAGTCAGGAAGCTCAGAGAGCTCCTTCAGCCTTTTTATTTAAGCCTAGAATGATTGGAATAAAAAGACCCCCAAAACAGTTGATTTTCTCTTCTTGCTGTGTTTATTAAAAATCAAGACACAAAACACTCCCAAACTCCAAATACTGAGATCATAATACTGAAGGTCACTCTTCTGCTTGATTCCAATATCAACCATTGGGTGGGTTCTCATTGGAAGTTGAGGATTAGCCTGAGTGATCTCTCAGGGACCCAGGGTCTTGGGATTATGTAAATCTATTATAGTTTGCAGGCCATTTGGGGAATTCGTATTATGTAATTCCTGCCTCCTTCCATCATACTCATATAATCACTCAATAAATACTTATTGTGTACTCACTGTGTTTTCAGCCTCTTGTGTAGGAGAAAATGATCCAAGAGAGATATCATGGTGTCACAGATAGAGATGTGAATCAAGAGGTCTGCTGGGAGAGACCGGAGAGGTTATTTAGTCCAACTTGTACCTGAGCAGAAACCATTTCTGTTTTATCCCTAGTGTGTGGGCATCCTACTTCTGCTCGGAGACCTCCAGTGATGATGAAAACTCTACTTCCTAAGGCAGCCCTATTTCTGTTTGCAGACAGCTTTAATTGTTAATTGCCTCTCTGTAGCTTCTACCAGTGTTTCTAATTTCTAGTTCTGCCTTCTGGGGCCAAGCAAAATAGCTCCTCCATGAGATCTTGGTCAGGTCATTTAAATTCTGATTCTCAGTTTTTCCAGAGAGATTCCAGAGGCAGGGGAACCAATATTTCTTGCTTTCTCAGGAAACTGGTGGAAATCAACAGCGTAGAGCAGAGTAAGTAGTGTAGCCATCTGGTGGCTCCATTTCCATTGGGTCTAGTTCAAACTGTGGAACCATCTTTGTCACCCAAAAATCCTCAGGACCAGGAGATTAGGGGGTCAATAGTAGTTCTCCAGAACTACTGCCAACTATAAAGAACTCCTGGGGGAACCTTATCAGACAGTCTAGGCTTGGATCAGCCTGAGACATATAATGAGTCAACTATCCTGCTGGATTCAGCCTTGGGAAGAAATTCTTCTCTGAGAGTCAGTTTATTATTGCCTCTGACTCTGTTACTTGTTCTGTGTCCTTAGTTAAAATCTCTTACATTCTATCAGCTGTATGTGTTTCAGTTTCCCCATCTGTGAAATGGAAATATCTAACCTAATAATGGAATAATGAGGTGGTAGGTATGAAGTTGTCCCCTAAAGCATGCACTTTAAGGTTTGTAGAGTGCTTTACATGTTATTTCATTTGATCCTTACAACCACCCTGGGAGGCGGGTGCTATCATTATTCACATTTTATAGATGAGGAAATTGAGACCAAGAGAGGTTAAGTGATTTGCCCAGGATCAGCTAGTACATGTCAGGCAAGATTTGAACTCAGTTCTTCCTGAGTCCAAGTCCACCGCTCTAACCATTGTACCACTTACAGAAAATAAAGCACAGTAATCTAATTAAGTATGATGCAGCAAAAAATAGTGATGTTTCTTAAGTCTTTCTGAACTGTGAGTGTGAATTCTGGGAAATGCAATGCAAATGATGGGAACTTAATACATGAGCAAGTAGGAAATTAATAGATGAGGATAGAGGGAGAAGGGCATTCATTTCTAGAAATAGCCATGATAAGGCTGGTTATCTGTATTTTTACTGCGTGTAGCAAACCATATCTCTCTTCTCTTGTTTCCTTTAGGTTGGGGAAAATTTGCCCGGCTAACTAGAGCACTGACAAGCAGCAGGGGGGTCCTGCAGCAGTTGGCTCCCAGCGTGCAGAAGGGTGAAAATGTCCACAAGCATTCCCGCCTGGCTGAGGTAAGGGGAAAGGGGGTAGCCCTGGTTCCTGGAGCACAAGGCAGGGCAAGCCTCTGGTGTGCATGGTTGTTCTGTTAGGTAGACAGTATATAAGCAGAAAAAACTGTTAGAGATAATGTGGTCTGGTGGGAGTCTTAATACCTGGGTTCTAGGCGTTGTGGCCACTGATCAAGGGTTGTGATTGAATAATTGTTTTGGCCCCTCATCCCTGGGTCTCAGTTTCCTTGTCTGTAAAGTGAGGATGTTGGATCTTGTGTACTTCTTAGGAGAGTATAGTTATCAAAACTTTATTTTTGTTTTGTAACATAAAAAAGAGGAAACATGAAAAAGGCACTATACAAATGCAAGATATTTTATTATTATTGCTATTTAATTGCTTCAAGGAACTGCAGTTTCATTGGCACTGGTCATTCCCCAAGACTCCCTCCTGCCCTTGCTGTACTTATTTCATGATCTTTATGAGTTGCTGTGGCTGTAAATGTTTATCTTTCTGTGGCCTTCTTGCTGCGAGCTTCTCTGAACTGAGTTTTACACTGGACCTAAAGCCATAGACAGCCAGTTCAGCCCCAGACCTATACTAGAATATTTTCCAGCTTGGTTGGACTTGCCTATATGTGTGCTACCTGGCATAGTCTTGAGAGCCCAGCCTCACCTCCATGCTAGGAGCAGATATCAAAGGAGGCCTTCAGTGGGGAATTTTTATTGGCTAAGCAGTTAATGAGTCAGCCTCTGAGAAAGAAAAGCCTGGTTCCAAGTCATGCATCATTCACATACTGACTGTGTTATCTTAGGCAAATCACTTGATCTCTCAGTGCCCTAGGCAACTTTATAAGACTATAAGTTGTGGAGCCGGTGCAGATCTGCATTGGTGGAGGGTTTCCTATACCAGTGAAATCTAATATCCATCCTACTCTATGATTGTATTAATAGTAAAATGTAGTAGTGTCTCTGCCTGCCTGCCTTCCTTCCTTCCTTCCTTCCTTCCTTCCTTCCTTCCTTCCTTCCTTCCTTCCTTCCTTCCTTCCTTTCTTCCTTGCTTCCTTCTTTCCTTCCTTCCTCCCTACTTCTCTCTCTGTCTCTCTCTGTTTCCCTCCCTCCCTCCCCTAATGCTCTCCATGTTTACTGGACAGTCTTATGAAAATATTTCTAAACATTCCCCCAAACAGCTCATGTGGCCATAGTCCTCCTTTCTGTTAGGGTCTAATCGTCAAATTTGCAATTAGAATTTAATTGGGGTAAAACTGTACATCGTGTTCTAGGGAAAGCAAATATGTGCTTATTGGATTGAACCGGAATTAACTCTCAGACTCCTCTGGTATGGAAGTGGAAAAGTCTCCCTTCCACTATCTCCTTGTAGGAGTAAAGGAGGATCTTGGGCTGGTCTTTATAACTAGATTCTGGGAGGAAGCTGTGAAGGAGACAGCTAAATTCAGTGGCAGGGTCCTACGTTGTTTCTCCCTCTCAAACCGTTCCATTTGGCCAGTTCTCATTCTGTGAGTTTCTCGACTCCTGAGTAGCCAACAGGAAAGCAGAAGGACTGTTAGCAGCTTGCCAATTTTCCTGAGTTGTGGATGCTCTGGTTTGGAGTGATCAGGGAAATTCAAATGCATGGTTAGCAGATGAGAAGCCACTGGATTACAGCGACATTATTTCTTGTCACATTGTAGGTTTTAGCTTCCAATAAAAATGGCATTTAAATCTGCTTTTAAATACAAGTCCCCAAAACACAGCATCCCATTCCAAATGTTTTACTGGCCTCCTACAGGCCGGTAGGTAAGAAAATGAGAAACATCAGCAATTTCTTTCCCCCCTCCTTACTTTGTCTGGAATAAGTCATTACTCTTTCTCTGTTGACAGTGTTTATTAGAGGTTTGTATAAATGAGGGCAGCATTGGGGTTGGATCCCTGGGAGCCCATTGATTTCACAGAGAAAATCAGTTCCCTGACCATAGATTCCTTCTGGAACCCTGGTAACCCATCTCACAGGTTTATAGTTGCACGTCACAGCAAGGATTAGAGGTTGAGTGTGGGTAGTTCATGAAAGCCTGTCTCCTCTACTAGAATAAATTACTCAAAGTACTTGTGACCAAGGCTGCTCGATCTTGGATGGGTAAAGGTCTTTTTACTTCTGACATGCCTGAGGAAATAGGGAAAAGCTCAGAAGGTGTTATCAAGAAGGAGGCCATTGTTGACCTCACAACACACTGCCAAACCCTTCCACGTAGTCGTCTCTGTGCCCAAGACCTCAAGTAGCTCTCAGCCCACCCTAGTATACAAGACATCCCCAGGGACACACGTCAGCCTGTGGAACACAGAAGATCACAGGGAGAGCCACCCAGGAGCAGTGTTTCCTTTTGCTGTTCAGTTCTGCCTTTTGGCCAATTGCTTCTTTCTCCTTCCAAAAGGATTGGCTTTACAGCAGCAGCAGCAGCAGCAGCAGTAGAATGGGCTAGCTCTATGAAAATGAGCCTAAAAGTTATGCTTCTCTGTTTTTATCTAATGGCTGCAGTCTGCCTGGGAGTAGGAGAGAAGCTGCTGATTTCTTGGGTTATTGCCTGAAACTTCTGTTTATTATTCTCACAGCTCAGCTATCCTGGCTTCCTTATTGTGGCAAAACATATCCTACTGATGGTGGATCAGGAGTAACACTTTTATAGACAAAAGGACAAGCATATGTGTTTATTTCCAAGGCTAATTTATGTCTCATCTCTAAGGCAGCTCTTTTATCTCCTTAGGAATAATGAAGAAGCCCCAGGATTAATTCCTTTTAGATTATGAACTCCATGAAGGCAGGGGCAACATCTTATTTAGTTTTTCATTTCTTCCAGAACTTAGCACAGTACTTTCCAAATGAAATTGGCAAATGAATGAAACCCACATCCCATCCTGATTCTTTCAGTAACCCTTTTTTCTCTTTTATAGTGTTATTCACTAGGAAGTCAGCATTCTCTTTACCTTGCTCCTATCAAGGTCACCAACAGTGGGAAAAAGTGATGGGGAAGTGTAGCCCCCTTCATTGTTAGGGAAAAGGATCATGTCCTATATCTTCTTTCTATCTTATAGTTTCTCCTCTCTCAGCCCCATTATCCCAGCAGAAGAAGACTCTCTGCATTTCTTTTGTTTCAGAGATAGAAGGTTTGTTTTCAGAGGCTAAAAAAACTATCAGCAAGTTATTCATTAAGTTGGAGGACCTTGAAAGTGGTTTCTCTGATTTTTTTTTTGCAGGTACTTGTCACTCCTATTTTCCTCATCTCCCTTGGGGAATAGTAGCTAAACAATCAGGAGGGAATTTCTCATCCTGATGGGCAGTACTTTTGTAAATCTTTTAGCTCTGCTTATCTCTTCCTTCACTGCTGATGAAGATGTTGGAATTATTTAGTCTTGTGCTGGGCCTAAAAAGTTTGAGAGGAAAAGAAGTCATGTTTTCTTCATTATTTTCTGTCTTTCAGGTGGTCTCCCTATGAGGAACCTAGGTCATAAACAAGGCTTGAAATGAGAGAAGCAAGGAAGGTGGATGGATTATTTATCTGAAAAGCATGTTAGAGGGGTTACCCTCCTGAGGAGAAATGGGATATTATTCAGGATTGCTGTCCAATCTCATATTTCCTACTCCAGTTTAAGGACTGGTTATAGGGAATGTGTCCTTTATGCATATGAAATTGAGTAAAGTTGAAGAATGGAAATATAGAAAAGGCCAGGTTGTGAAGGGCTCTAAATGACAAACAGAGGACTTTAGATTTGATTTTAAAGATGATAGGGGAGGCAGTGGAGTTTCTGAGTAGGGGAATGGCATGGCCGACCAACTTAGCTGGTTACACTTTTGGATGGCACTGGTGACACATCCCTCCTCCAACTGTAAATGGGGAATGTAATATCTGCATAACCCATCTCATAGAATTGTTGTAAGGATTGTAAGGATTAATCAGCTAATGAATGTTAAGCACTTTCTATATTGTAAAGCATTATAGAAATATCAAGCTTCAGTGTTTCCAAAACTGAATTTCATTATCTAAGTTCCAAAAGAGACTGCAAGCTGGCATGACCCATTGCTTTGAAAGAGAGAGTTGTTTTGGTCTTTGCCATTTCTATTATTAATACCTACCTGAATTATGAAATCTCTGTTTAGGTGGCAGATTCCTTGGGAAGAATCCACATCTTTTGCCTTAGCAGCAGGTAGCGGTTAAAATGTGTTAATTCCGTTTCCCTTATATTACAATAGTTAGCACCTATGTATCTTGTTCCCAACATGTGATACCTTCACCAAATAAACCTGTTGTGAGTATAATCAACCCTTGATTTCCTTTCCATTCTCTTAGGGAGGTGTTCTATTAGCTTTCAAAGAAGTTAAGTTTCTAAGAAACCTATTCCTAGATAAATGAGCTGAATCACAGAGCTATGGCATCATTACCAAGTCATTTCTAAATGATTGATAATTTCTTATGATCTTGATGGATCTGTTGATCTTGGGTCATAGTGAAGCCTGCAGATTATCCTCTAATTCTTATCTTAGCTGATGATTTCTATTTCATTTCTCATTCAACCTTTCAGTAGAACAATGAATGCATTGCAGTGGGGGGGAGCCATCTTAAAAATAGGGGCTATTTAGTGTACCTAGAAATAAACAATAGCTTATCACAAGAGTACAGTGTTTTGTTTTATAGAGGAAGATGGTATCCTTTAAACTCCATTTTATGTGTTTCTCACAGCTTTCCTCATAGACTTGTGTTAGCATCCAGCTCTATTGTATACTCCATCCTTGAGCTTAAATGTATAGCACTCTTACCAGGGGGTTAAGTCTCCTCAAGCACTTGTTCCAGTCAGACAACTTGTGTTTTCATTCAGTCGAAGTGCAAAGTTTAGAAGCACAAAGACCCTTCATATCTACACTTGAGAAAGGGGAGAAAAATGCAAATATTAGTTGCTAAAGGGACATGCCCAAAATGAACGTGGAACTGGAGAATCAGGCCTTCCTGGAGTCCATAGGTGGCTAGAGCAGAGCA